CATGTGGAATAAAGCACATCAGAGCATCACCTTATTATCCAAAGAGCAATGGAAAAATTGAGAGGTTTAACAGATACTTGAAGAAAGCCTTCAGAACAACTGAATGCACAGGAAAAAAATGGCAGGAGGAACTTCCAAAAATATTAATGGCATACCGATCAACACCACACCGAGCGTCAGGAGAAACACCAGCTATGCTCATGTTTGGACAAGATATCCGCAGAAAGTGTCCCAACATGGAGGAGGAATGTGGATTTCCAAATGGCACAGAGAAAACGATAGATATCAGAAACCATCACAACGAATACAAAACTAAAATGAAAGAGTATGCTGATCAAACCAACAGAGCAAAGGACTACAACTTTAAGGTTGGTGATATAGTTTACATTGCTAGTATGGAGAATGGAAAGCTGGATACCACATCAAAGACATTCGCTTTGTCATATTGAGAAACACTGCTGATAATGCCTTTGAACTGGTCAACACAGAAGATGGATCAAGAGTGACCAGGAATGTTAAACATCTTCGACACACACCTGTGGTAATTGACTTTGATGCTTTTGAATCTCCATTGGAATACAACACCCAAATCAATGATAAAACTGTGGAGGTGCCGATTGCTGAGACCACTTCATCAGCTGAGATCCCACCAGAACCTAACCCACCTGTGTCTGAGGTCATCACTACCAGGAAGGGCCGTGTCATCAGAAAGCCCATCAAATACAGAGAGACTTGAAATAAATAAACAAAACAAAATAGAAAAAGAAATGTTACCCTTTGGTTTAGTAAAGTAGAATAGAAATGTGTTTTGATTTCTATGTAAAAAAAAAAAAAAACTTTTTGTGTTGCAGATAGGTTTTTGTTCTAAACAAGGAGGAAAATGTAGTGTAGTTAATGTTACTGTTATCGCAAGATTAGTCGGACCAGAGAGAGATGAGGGAAGACGGACATGGTGGCTAGAGTAACATTGGAACACGTGTTAATAAATATGCATAAAGCAAAGTAAATGACTGTTTTATTTAAACAACACAACAACAAAGAATACACACTGGACCGTGTTTACACGAACGTACGAGACGTATACAAAGCCGTACCCCACACCCCCACTCTTTGACCATATTTCTATCTTCCTGGCCTCTGTTTACCTCCCTTCTGAGAAACTCCAGACAGATACAAAGGAAAGTCAAAAGTTGAGTGAAAAATAGTGACTCCATACTGAAAGACTGTTTTGCATGCACAGACTGGGAGGTCTTCAAAGAAGCTGCTGAAAATGAGGGAGCTAGACCTAGAGGAAAACACATCCTCAGTCCTGGGATACATCAGCAAGTGTGCTGATGACGTCACCACCATCAGAACTGTTAACAGCTACCCAAAGCAGAAACCCTGGCTGAATGCAGAGGTTTGCAACTTGCTGGAAGCCAGGGTAACTGCCTTCAGATCTGGCAATTCACAGGAGCTGAGAAGGACAAGGAAAGAGCTGGTTGCTGGTATTAAGAGGGCCAAAGACACATATGCACAGAGGATCCAGAGTCAGTTCACCTCACAAGACCCACAGAGCATGTAGAGGGGCATTAAGTGTGTAACAGATTATGAAGACAGAGGTGCATAATGCACTAGGGACTCATCACTGCCTGATGCCCTCAACAGGTTTTATGCACTCTTTGAAGACATGAACAGACCACCCAGCACCAGACATACCTCACCATCTGAAGAAGCGTTCCTCAGCGTGACCTCAGCAGAAGCGAGGAGTCGTTTCAGGAGGATTAATCCTCACAAAGCAACTGGCCCAGACAACATCCCTGGGAAGGTGTTGAAAGACCATGCCGATCAGCTCTGCAAGGTGCTGGCCGACATCTTTAAATCCTCCCTCACCGTGGCAACAGTTCCCACCTGCCTGAAGACCGCCACCATCATCCCAGTTTCTAAGAGCTCTACACTGATTGGTTGAATGACTATCGGCCAGTAGCCCTCACCCCGATAGTCGCTAAATGCTTTGAAATACTGGTCATGACCCACATCAAAACAACCATCAACATCAGCGAGGACCCTCACCACAAAAATCGATCAACAGAGGATGCCATCTCCTCTGTGGTCCACACTGCTCTTACCCACCAGGAGCAGAAGGACTCCTATGTCCATATGCTCTTTGTGGACTTCATGTCTGTCCTTTTACAGGTGTGCAGTGGAGAGCATCCTGTGCTCCTGCATCCACGTGTGGCATGGAGGCTGCACAGCTGGAAAGCTAAGCTTTGCAGAGAGTTGTGAAGGCTGCACAGAAGATGTTGGAGTCAGTCTCCCCACCATCAGACATCTACACCTCCAGATGCAGGAAGAGGGCCACCTGCATCATGAAGGACCACACTCACCCAGCACACACACTTTTTGCCCCGCTCTCCTCAGGAAGGAGGTTGAGGAGCATTAAGTGTAGAACCACTAGACTGAGGAACAGCTTCTACCCTGAGGCTGTTAGACTCATGAATCTCTGATCAGGATTATCACTGAAAAAAATCACTGTAATGCCACTTTGATTGTTGATATGTGCTGCTGACTATCCATGATGCTGATCTCAAGATGCTGATCTGTTTCATGTTGATGTGTTCATTCATACTCATCTGCTCACAAAGACTCATGTTCGTGCTGCTGTTCGGCATATTGTTTTTGTGTTATTAGTGCTTAGTGTATTTTTAGTTAATGTATTTCTTAGTTCATATCTTAGATCTTATTACTGTTTTTATTTACAATTTATACTTTTATTGGATGTAACTGTGACCCTGTGTACACAATTTCATTCCATTACATGTACCACATGTGGTGCGAACGACAAATAAAGAAACCTTGACCTTGACCTTGAACATGTTGTTAAAGTTGTTCCAGGTCCATGATTGTCTGTGAAGCATCGCCTCTTCTTCAAACAACAGTCTGTAGACATCCTGGACCTGAGACCAGATGGTGGAGGTTTTGGAGGGAGTCTTGTCTCATTGTTTAATGGAGGATTTGTTCTGTTCAGCAGTCCTGGATTTTATTTGCTGGATTTTTGTTCTATGATCCGTTAAATTTACCTGTATTTATTTTTCTTCTTTCGGCTGCTCCCTTCTTCTGGGGTCACCACAGAGAACTATCTCTCTTGAAGACTTTGCTATTGTTTTAACGCTGGATGTCCTTCCTGACACAACCACAGACCATCACGCTACCACAGCCCTCTGTGTGGAGCAGAGATCTGCTTTCTAGGGCACCTGGGGAGCAGATGGTGGGATTGAGGGCCTTGCTCAAGGGCCCAGAGTAATTTTTTGACATAAGTATTATAAATTCTTGCATTTCAATTGGCCTTTTCACTGCCTTTGGAGCTCAGGCCTACTGAGGGGAGGATCAGGAGATCTATACGTCTTTGAACCTGGGATTTCAGTCTGTTGCGGAAAGGTGCACAAAAAACATTACGACCGATCATTATCCACTCCTTGAACAGGAAGCCAAGATAAGTGGCCAATAGCCTCCACAGCGCCCCCTAGAATATTTTAAAACCTCAGCCCCAAGCCATTTTTGGACTGATAATTCTGAAACTCAGTGAACATCTGTACCTTCTCAGGACCTATGAAAAAGTCTCTTGGAGCCCTGGGCCAAACTCAACAGGAAGTCGGCCATTTTGGGTCAAAGGGTCAATTTTGGGCATTACTAATGGCGCATTTTAACGAACTCCTCCTAGGGATTTTGATTGAAAGCCTTCAAACTTGGTTCATATGCCCTTAACACATTGGGGAGTAGATGTTATCAAAAGCTTGCACTTTCGTATATGTTAAAGGGGTGTGGCCAGGCCTCAAATTTGAGCTTCATGCCATAAATTTCCAAACGCTACAACTTTCACATTGAAAGACCGAAACGCACCAAACTTGGCATGAGTCATCCCTGTCCAATGCCTGACGAGCCTCTGTGGTCATATTCTGATGTCATCAAAGCCCCGCCCCCTCAGAACAGGAAGTCACTTGTTTTGCTTGGAATGATTCCTCTCTGACATCCTTGACTGAATCAGGATGATCCTGTGTTAGAAGACATTTAACAAGTTGGTCTGACTTGCTTTAAAGCACAAACCATTTTTGCTGGAAGATGTGGGTGTGGCGGCGTGGCGAATTCAGAAGTGACGCCGTTACAATACATTTGGCTCTAAAGTGCACAGATTTAAGCCAAGGTGCACTAAAAACACTATAACTAATTGTCATCCACCCCTTCAACAGGAATCCATGATAATTGGCCAATAGCCTACACAGCGCCACCTACATTTTTCCTAGAGTTATAGCTCAGTGATACAACATCCGAACTGCAGCAGATTTAATGTGCGTCATCAGTGAGGACTTTCAGACACATTGATATTATGCTTTAACATATGACTCTAGTGCGCCCCCTAGATTATTCCAACAGTTATATCTCAGTGAAAGAGCATCCAATATGTATCAGATATGATGTGAGTGATCAGTGAGCACTTATAGAAACATTGATATTGTTGAATCATGACATCACTTAAGCCCCACCTACTCAGAGAAAAAACTGTTGATTATTGGATAACACTTCCAGCTTCGCACTGTGTAAGATATTAGACTGAAACTTTGTTCGCTAACTGTTGATTACCACACATGACATGTTGAAAAGCATAAAGGAAGTGCTTGTCAAACATTCGCAACAAAACAGGAAGTCACCATAACTCCTGTCTGGAAGGTCAGATTTCGCCTATACTTGTAAAACCTGCAGCTGGACAAGTAACGACATGGACGGAAGGCGATGTCGAAGATTCGTGAAATACGCTCAGTGGTGAATGCGTGCGGGATTGGCATGAGAGCGTTTGCGATGGCGACTGGGTGGACTAGCTGGAGCTCCCGCGGTCGCTGTAAGGCCGAAGCGGCGCTTTGCTGCGAGGGCCTCCAATGCTGCTTGCAGCTTTAATTTCATTTTGAAATGTTTCAAACAAAGACCTGTTTTCAGTTATAAAATACAACATGTTTATTTCTCTACAGATTGAGGCGGGTCAGTACTGCACCTTTGTGATCTCTTCTGATGGCTCTGTTCGAGCCTGTGGTAAAGGCAGCTATGGCAGATTAGGCCTCGGAGACTCCAACAACCAATCTACACTAAAGAAACTGACCTTTGAACCCCACCGTGCCATCAAGAAGGTGTCATCATCCAAGGGCTCTGATGGCCACACACTGGCCTTTACAACGGAGGGGGAGGTGTTTAGCTGGGGTGACGGGGATTATGGCAAACTGGGCCATGGAAACAGCTCCACACAGAAGTACCCTAAACTTATCCAGGGGCCTCTGCAGGGGAAGGTAGGTCACCTCACACGTGCTTCTTTGTCTTTACTCTTCACCTGTATAACTTTGTTCTTAAAATGCATTTACATGCAAAATACAATTTCAAAAAAGTTTGTAAATTTTCAAAAGATCTCCCAAAAGTTTTAGTTTTAGTATAAAATAAAGTTGGACATCCCCCTCCTGAAGTAAGCTGGGACCAGTTGGTGTCCACAGAAAACATGTCCTCTGTCTTTCTGTCTACCTGAGAACATCTGATGTCCACAAATTACCTGTCCCGAGAGCAGATGTTCACAAGGCTGAGCTGTATGTCTCTGCAAAGTGCAGAATTTCCTGTTTCAGGTCACTTAAAGTCCCATCCCTCTCTCCCTCCCTCCCTCCCTCCCAGCAAATGATTTGCTGACAGGAGAATCTTTCAGAAATTGTTAGAAAAAGGTAATACAGAAATTTGGTGCATTTCTGCTCAGATTTGTGGATTTTTAAAAATTTTGTAAATACACAATAGACCTAAAATCTTCTGTTTTATCTGTGAAATTTCAATCGACCAAACAAACGACTGATCTAAGTGGTTTTTATCTGAAGGTGCTTATGAGGTGATTTTTCCTGTTTATCCTTTAAAAATTATTTAATAAATGTTTGGACTCTAGATGGATCTTTGTTCCTCTATGCCGACAGAGAAACGTCAGCAACTTCACCTGGTTGTTTCTGTCTTCATACAGTTTGTTTTGTGTGTGTGTGTGTGTGTTAGGTGGTCGTGTGTGTGTCTGCTGGCTACAGACACAGCGCTGCAGTCAGTGAGGATGGAGAGCTCTACACCTGGGGGGAAGGAGACTTTGGGAGGTTAGGTAGGTGTGCTAAGTTCCCTCTGGGAGTGTTGTAAGTATTTAGTACATTTGTATGCAAAAGTCAGTAGAAAAGCAGGTATAAAAGACCAAAAGACTAGACATGAAGGCCAACCTTGAATACTAGAAACAGCTATGACTATTTGGACACTTAAGTCAAGTCAACTTTATTTATAGAGCACATTTAAAATGGAACCTGTTATCAAAGTGCTTAACAACAACAACTATCAATGAGAGTAAAATTAAAGAGAAAAAAAATAAATATATATATATATATATATATATATATATATATATATATATATATATACACAAACCGGATTCCAAAAAA